GGCGCGCAACTTCCGGTCCGAAAGGGCCTGCCACGCTCCATGGATAGGATTTTTTTGACGTGATTTAAACTATGCATGAGCCAGGACTTGGCCAAAAGAGAATAGACGAGCGTTGGGGGAAACGAATATCTAACGGCACTCACCACCATTCAATGGAGAGCATTTCGGACGTGATTTTGCAGTTAGTGAATGGTTTTAAATAAGTTTTAAATATATGTATTCCCTAAGGGAAACAGGTATTTATATTTGTTGGCTTGAATTAATAACTAACGATTTATTTGACATTTCTATGTTTCATTTTATTCGCTGTGGTAACAAATGTCTCGAGCTTTGTTAAAATACTTTTGGGGTGCTCTAGCTCGGCAGCTGTTCATGGCCTGGGCCATGTAGATGTTTGGCCATTTCAATTTGGCTAAGCAATCCCTCAAACTGCTCTCCCTCCCCCACAAGATCGATCGCCTCATAGCTGGCTTTATAAATAATATTTTAATACATTCAAATTTAGCTAGCCCAGCAATTTATTTAGACTATATTTATACCCACACTCAAAAAAGAGTTAAGGGGTATATTAGATTTGTGGTAAAAGTGGATGTGTGTAACGCAGAGAAGGAAACGTTTCCGACCCCATAAAGTATATATATTCTTGATCAGCATCAATAGCCGAGTCGATATAGCCATGTCTGTCTGTCCGTCTGTCTGTCCGTCAGGTTGAGCGTCTAGATCTCAGAGACTATAAGAGCTAGGGCAACCAAAGTTGGTTTCCAGACTCATGTGATATCACACTGCTACAAGTGTATTTCAAAATTTCGCTCCGCCCCTTTCCGCCACCACAAAGGACGAAAATCTGTGGCAGGCACATTTTTAAAGATACGATAAAACTGAAATGATTCTCTTTCTCGCTCGCACACTCTGCCGCGTTCAGCGGCGAGCAACCCCTAGCGGAGGAGATGTAGAATCTAAATGGTACATGTATAATCTACATGTTAAATGTAAAATATACATTGTAGATGTAAATGTAGATAACAGATGTAGCAAAAAATGTAAAATTTTGCCTTCGGGAGTTCTCTGCCAGCTCCCTCGATTGGCAACCACAAATGCGATTGAGCTAAAGTTGCTGCAGGAGAAGAAGAGGAGCAGGAGAACAGGAGAAGCAAGGTAAAAAGGAGCACTTTGAGGCTGAGTACACCTCCAGCTCTCTCAGTCTCCTCCGTTAGCTGCTCAATTTGTCGAGGCTCGGGCCATATCGAGCATTCTTGATAAATGTCAAGGGCCATTGTGCAAGTTGTCAGTACCCTCGCCTGTGCCTCCCCGATATGTGTAGGCCTACAGTATTGATTGCTAGCATCATGCCCACGACTCATTAAACTTGTGCACAGAATTAACAATTTATGCATGTACATATGTATGTATATAAGTGTGCGTGTGTGTGTGTGTCTTTGCACTTAGTGAGCGCTTCTTCATTCAGCTAAAGCCCAGCCCAGTCCATTCCAGCCCACTCCCACACCAAGGCTCCCTTTGCTATGCAACCCTCCATCTGCATCTTACAGTGAAAACTTGCAGCTTACTGTCCGCTGTCCGCATCTCCACTGTCCGCTATCCGCTTTCCACTGTCCACTGTCCGCTGTCTGTTGTTTCAACTTCAATTATAAACTTTAAATAATTCAGCCTCGACCTGCCACGACTGTCCTCAGCTTCTCCCACGCCCCGATATACATATTTCAGATCACTTAAGCCGCCTGCACAGCCAAAAGAAATAAATAAAGAAAGCTCTGGTAAGTTTCCGTTGCTGAGGCATACTGCCAGATGACAGACGGTTGTAAATGAAAAAAAAAGTCACAAGAATCCCTCACAACTTCAAACATCACATAGCTGCTAGGGAATAGGGAATGGTTGGCTAATACTCCGATAATCCTTGAGATAATGGTGCATACTCGTAGCCGAAAAGCTTACTTAAGCGTGGCCCCACGATATATCGGACTGGGCCTAGTAGCCGGCCTGCTATACCTCTCGACTGAAGACTGAGCTGCACTCAATACAAGAAAAGACATTGATCTCTGATCAGCCAATGGTTGGCTGATTTAATCTAAGCCAAAATCAAAAATAATTGCAAATTCAGCAAAAATGTTTCTTGTTGGAATGGGTGGGCATGGCATCACTACTTGCGCCCTGCTTTTCATGCAGCTTGATAAACGCCATATATTGAACGGCATTCCGCTTGAGTCCGCTGGGCACACTCTGTTGGGTGGTGGAAATGTCCACAGTTGGGGTGCGGGCGCAGAGGCTCTGCAGCGTGAGGGAATCGTCGAGTTGCAGCTTGACATCGAAGAACTTTGCATTGTCCACATCTGCAGTTCTCTGGCTCTCATTTCGCCTGCCTGCGTCTCTGCGTGCAGTTGGGTCAACCGATCCACCTCCGTTTGGGCAGCTACCAAGAGGCCTTTGTGCCGATCCAGCTCCAGGCGCAGCGCATACTGTTTGGCTATAAACGGATGAATATTCTGCTGTAGCTGCAAATAGCTTTTGGACAAATATTGTTTCTCTGCGCCCCATTTCTTTTCCATTTGCACAATGCGCAGCTGCAGTCGTGTTTTCTCCTCATACAATGTGGCCACGGTATTTAGTGTCTCGTGCTCCTGCTCAATCAGCAGGTGCATCTCCTTGTCCCGCCCTTCCAGTTGGTTTTTCAGCGTGACAGTATTATCTCGACAAAAAAAACCCACGCGAGACTTATTATTCTTGAGTAAAATATCTTTGAGCGAACTCATCTCAGCCACGATGTCATTCAAGTGCCTATTCAGCTGGGCATTGGTGTTCTCCAAGGTCGCCTGCCTGGCCTCCAGCTGCGTGATGTACTGCTGCTGGCGCACGTTCTCTGGCTCCAGCTGCTGGCATCGAATCTGGGCCAGTTCGAGCGAATGTATCTTGAGCTCCTTCTCCAACACCATGGCCTCAAAGTCCGACTCCAGGGCGTTGTATCGCTTTTTGATTTTATCGAGGTCGATCTTAAGCTGGGTATTGCACTGCTCCGCCCACCTCTTCTCCTCGCGCAGTTTATCGAGTTGGCTCTCCAGACTCCGGCGTATCACCTGCGTGTCCGCCAGTAGATCCTCCTTGGACCCTTCATCCAGAAACTCCCTGCCTTCTGGCTTAGCCTCGGGTGCCGGACTCTTGCCCGGTTGTCCGCTCGTGTCGCTCATTTGCTACGAAAGTGTTGAAATTATTTAATACGAATTTAATCTTTAATCTGTAGACTTCAATTTTGTACTTGTAGACTTCAATTTTGTAGACTCTAGGTTGTGGATTCGGTCAACGAATCTGACTAACTGAATATTCCCAGTCGAATTTGTTGCTCAAGGCTACTGGCCAGCCTGCTGGGTTTCCTCTGCTAAACGTACAAAAAGTGTAGCCAAGTAAGCATGTGATTTGGATCTTTATATACCCGTACTCAAAAAAGAGTTAAGGGGTATATTAGATTTGTGGTAAAAGTGGATGTGTGTAACGCAGAGAAGGAAACGTTTCCGACCCCATAAAGTATATATATTCTTGATCAGCATCAGTAGCCGAGTCGATATAGCCATGTCTGTCTGTCCGTCTGTCCGTCTTCTTTGACGCCTGGATCTAGAGACTATAAAAGCTAGAGGAACCAAATTTTGTTTCCAGACTTATGTGATATCACACTGCTTACAAGTGTATTTCAAAATTTCGCCCCGCCCCCTTCCGCCCACACAAAGGACGAAAATCTGTGGCAGCCACAATTTTTAAGATACGCTAAAACGCAGTATCGTAGAGAATGACCATATCTACCAGATTGCCGAATTTGAATCAGATCGGATCATAATTATAGCCAGAATGTATGTATATGTAGATAACAGATGTAGCAAAAAAACGTAATATGTATAATTTTTTTTTTCTAAAAATTCTAAAAAATTATATGCCCAAAACTGTATATACTGACTGAGTACGGGTATAACTAGAGTCGCGTCCCCAGAACACACGTTCCTTCTCGTTTTCTTATCGCGTTGTATGGCATTGGACTCGTCGATGCTCCAGGATCAGGAGTTTGCGTACGGAATATTCGTTCAGGCATCAAAACGCAATAGAGGCATGATTATATTTCATTTTGAGATCATACGTACGAACACCCCAAATGCACTAGCGCGTATGAAAAAATTCCCTTACGCATTCAAGTAAATGCCCGATATGTGTAGGCCTACAGTATTGATTGCTAGCATCATGCCCACGACTCATTAAACTTGTGCACAGAATTAACAATTTATGCATGTACATATGTATGTATATAAGTGTGCGTGTGTGTGTGTGTCTTTGCACTTAGTGAGCGCTTCTTCATTCAGCTAAAGCCCAGCCCAGTCCATTCCAGCCCACTCCCACACCAAGGCTCCCTTTGCTATGCAACCCTCCATCTGCATCTTACAGTGAAAACTTGCAGCTTACTGTCCGCTGTCCGCATCTCCACTGTCCGCTGTCCGCTTTCCACTGTCCACTGTCCGCTGTCTGTTGTTTCAACTTCAATTATAAACTTTAAATAATTCAGCCTCGACCTGCCACGACTGTCCTCAGCTTCTCCCACGCCCCGATATACATATTTCAGATCACTTAAGCCGCCTGCACAGCCAAAAGAAATAAATAAAGAAAGCTCTGGTAAGTTTCCGTTGCTGAGGCATACTGCCAGATGACAGACGGGTTGTAAATGAAAAAAAAAGTCACAAGAATCCCTCACAACTTCAAACATCACATAGCTGCTAGGGAATAGGGAATGGTTGGCTAATACTCCGATAATCCTTGAGATAATGGTGCATACTCGTAGCCGAAAAGCTTACTTAAGCGTGGCCCCACGATATATCGGACTGGGCCTAGTAGCCGGCCTGCTATACCTCTCGACTGAAGACTGAGCTGCACTCAATACAAGAAAAGACATTGATCTCTGATCAGCCAATGGTTGGCTGATTTAATCTAAGCCAAAATCAAAAATAATTGCAAATTCAGCAAAAATGTTTCTTGTTGGAATGGGTGGGCATGGCATCACTACTTGCGCCCTGCTTTTCATGCAGCTTGATAAACGCCATATATTGAACGGCATTCCGCTTGAGTCCGCTGGGCACACTCTGTTGGGTGGTGGAAATGTCCACAGTTGGGGTGCGGGCGCAGAGGCTCTGCAGCGTGAGGGAATCGTCGAGTTGCAGCTTGACATCGAAGAACTTTGCATTGTCCACATCTGCAGTTCTCTGGCTCTCATTTCGCCTGCCTGCGTCTCTGCGTGCAGTTGGGTCAACCGATCCACCTCCGTTTGGGCAGCTACCAAGAGGCCTTTGTGCCGATCCAGCTCCAGGCGCAGCGCATACTGTTTGGCTATAAACGGATGAATATTCTGCTGTAGCTGCAAATAGCTTTTGGACAAATATTGTTTCTCTGCGGCCCCATTTCTTTTCCATTTGCACAATGCGCAGCTGCAGTCGTGTTTTCTCCTCATACAATGTGGCCACGGTATTTAGTGTCTCGTGCTCCTGCTCAATCAGCAGGTGCATCTCCTTGTCCCGCCCTTCCAGTTGGTTTTTCAGCGTGACAGTATTATCTCGACAAAAAAAACCCACGCGAGACTTATTATTCTTGAGTAAAATATCTTTGAGCGAACTCATCTCAGCCACGATGTCATTCAAGTGCCTATTCAGCTGGGCATTGGTGTTCTCCAAGGTCGCCTGCCTGGCCTCCAGCTGCGTGATGTACTGCTGCTGGCGCACGTTCTCTGGCTCCAGCTGCTGGCATCGAATCTGGGCCAGTTCGAGCGAATGTATCTTGAGCTCCTTCTCCAACACCATGGCCTCAAAGTCCGACTCCAGGGCGTTGTATCGCTTTTTGATTTTATCGAGGTCGATCTTAAGCTGGGTATTGCACTGCTCCGCCCACCTCTTCTCCTCGCGCAGTTTATCGAGTTGGCTCTCCAGACTCCGGCGTATCACCTGCGTGTCCGCCAGTAGATCCTCCTTGGACCCTTCATCCAGAAACTCCCTGCCTTCTGGCTTAGCCTCGGGTGCCGGACTCTTGCCCGGTTGTCCGCTCGTGTCGCTCATTTGCTACGAAAGTGTTGAAATTATTTAATACGAATTTAATCTTTAATCTGTAGACTTCAATTTTGTACTTGTAGACTTCAATTTTGTAGACTCTAGGTTGTGGATTCGGTCAACGAATCTGACTAACTGAATATTCCCAGTCGAATTTGTTGCTCAAGGCTACTGGCCAGCCTGCTGGGTTTCCTCTGCTAAACGTACAAAAAGTGTAGCCAAGTAAGCATGTGATTTGGATCTTTATATACCCGTACTCAAAAAAGAGTTAAGGGGTATATTGAGATTTGTTAAAAGTGGATGTGTGTAACGCAGAGAAGGAAACGTTTCCGACCCCATAAAGTATATATATTCTTGATCAGCATCAGTAGCCGAGTCGATATAGCCATGTCTGTCTGTCCGTCTGTCCGTCTTCTTTGACGCCTGGATCTCAGAGACTATAAAAGCTAGAGGAACCAAATTTTGTTTCCAGACTTATGTGATATCACACTGCTTACAAGTGTATTTCAAAATTTCGCCCCGCCCCCTTCCGCCCACACAAAGGACGAAAATCTGTGGCAGCCACAATTTTTAAGATACGCTAAAACGCAGTATCGTAGAGAATGACCATATCTACCAGATTGCCGAATTTGAATCAGATCGGATCATAATTATAGCCAGAATGTATGTATATGTAGATAACAGATGTAGCAAAAAAACGTAATATGTATAATTTTTTTTTTTCTAAAATTCTAAAAAATTATATGCTCAAAACTGTATATACTGACTGAGTACGGGTATAACTAGAGTCGCGTCCCCAGAACACACGTTCCTTCTCGTTTTCTTATCGCGTTGTATGGCATTGGACTCGTCGATGCTCCAGGATCAGGAGTTTGCGTACAGAATATTCGTTCAGGCATCAAAACGCAATAGAGGCATGATTATATTTCATTTTGAGATCATACGTACGAACACCCCAAATGCACTAGCGCGTATGAAAAAATTCCCTTACGCATTCAAGTAAATGCCCGATATGTGTAGGCCTACAGTATTGATTGCTAGCATCATGCCCACGACTCATTAAACTTGTGCACAGAATTAACAATTTATGCATGTACATATGTATGTATATAAGTGTGCGTGTGTGTGTGTGTCTTTGCACTTAGTGAGCGCTTCTTCATTCAGCTAAAGCCCAGCCCAGTCCATTCCAGCCCACTCCCACACCAAGGCTCCCTTTGCTATGCAACCCTCCATCTGCATCTTACAGTGAAAACTTGCAGCTTACTGTCCGCTGTCCGCATCTCCACTGTCCGCTGTCCGCTTTCCACTGTCCACTGTCCGCTGTCTGTTGTTTCAACTTCAATTATAAACTTTAAATAATTCAGCCTCGACCTGCCACGACTGTCCTCAGCTTCTCCCACGCCCCGATATACATATTTCAGATCACTTAAGCCGCCTGCACAGCCAAAAGAAATAAATAAAGAAAGCTCTGGTAAGTTTCCGTTGCTGAGGCATACTGCCAGATGACAGACGGTTGTAAATGAAAAAAAAAGTCACAAGAATCCCTCACAACTTCAAACATCACATAGCTGCTAGGGAATAGGGAATGGTTGGCTAATACTCCGATAATCCTTGAGATAATGGTGCATACTCGTAGCCGAAAAGCTTACTTAAGCGTGGCCCCACGATATATCGGACTGGGCCTAGTAGCCGGCCTGCTATACCTCTCGACTGAAGACTGAGCTGCACTCAATACAAGAAAAGACATTGATCTCTGATCAGCCAATGGTTGGCTGATTTAATCTAAGCCAAAATCAAAAATAATTGCAAATTCAGCAAAAATGTTTCTTGTTGGAATGGGTGGGCATGGCATCACTACTTGCGCCCTGCTTTTCATGCAGCTTGATAAACGCCATATATTGAACGGCATTCCGCTTGAGTCCGCTGGGCACACTCTGTTGGGTGGTGGAAATGTCCACAGTTGGGGTGCGGGCGCAGAGGCTCTGCAGCGTGAGGGAATCGTCGAGTTGCAGCTTGACATCGAAGAACTTTGCATTGTCCACATCTGCAGTTCTCTGGCTCTCATTTCGCCTGCCTGCGTCTCTGCGTGCAGTTGGGTCAACCGATCCACCTCCGTTTGGGCAGCTACCAAGAGGCCTTTGTGCCGATCCAGCTCCAGGCGCAGCGCATACTGTTTGGCTATAAACGGATGAATATTCTGCTGTAGCTGCAAATAGCTTTTGGACAAATATTGTTTCTCTGCGCCCCATTTCTTTTCCATTTGCACAATGCGCAGCTGCAGTCGTGTTTTCTCCTCATACAATGTGGCCACGGTATTTAGTGTCTCGTGCTCCTGCTCAATCAGCAGGTGCATCTCCTTGTCCCGCCCTTCCAGTTGGTTTTTCAGCGTGACAGTATTATCTCGACAAAAAAAACCCACGCGAGACTTATTATTCTTGAGTAAAATATCTTTGAGCGAACTCATCTCAGCCACGATGTCATTCAAGTGCCTATTCAGCTGGGCATTGGTGTTCTCCAAGGTCGCCTGCCTGGCCTCCAGCTGCGTGATGTACTGCTGCTGGCGCACGTTCTCTGGCTCCAGCTGCTGGCATCGAATCTGGGCCAGTTCGAGCGAATGTACTCTTGAGCTCCTTCTCCAACACCATGGCCTCAAAGTCCGACTCCAGGGCGTTGTATCGCTTTTTGATTTTATCGAGGTCGATCTTAAGCTGGGTATTGCACTGCTCCGCCCACCTCTTCTCCTCGCGCAGTTTATCGAGTTGGCTCTCCAGACTCCGGCGTATCACCTGCGTGTCCGCCAGTAGATCCTCCTTGGACCCTTCATCCAGAAACTCCCTGCCTTCTGGCTTAGCCTTGGGCGCCGGACTCTTGCCCGGTTGTCCGCTCGTGTCGCTCATTTGCTACGAAAGTGTTGAAATTATTTAATACGAATTTAATCTTTTTTTTTTTGTACCACTCAATTTTGTACTTGTAGACTTCCATTTTGTACTTGTAGACTTCAATTTTGTAGACTCTAGGTTGTGGATTCGGTCAACGAATCTGACTAACTGAATATTCCCAGTCGAATTTGTTGCTCAAGGCTACTGGCCAGCCTGCTGGGTTTCCTCTGCTAAACGTACAAAAAGTGTAGCCAAGTAAGCATGTGATTTGGATCTTTATATACCCGTACTCAAAAAAGAGTTAAGGGGTATATTAGATTTGTGGTAAAAGTGGATGTGTGTAACGCAGAGAAGGAAACGTTTCCGACCCCATAAAGTATATATATTCTTGATCAGCATCAGTAGCCGAGTCGATATAGCCATGTCTGTCTGTCCGTCTGTCCGTCTTCTTTGACGCCTGGATCTCAGAGACTATAAAAGCTAGAGGAACCAAATTTTGTTTCCAGACTTATGTGATATCACACTGCTTACAAGTGTATTTCAAAATTTCGCCCCGCCCCCTTCCGCCCACACAAAGGACGAAAATCTGTGGCAGCCACAATTTTTAAGATACGCTAAAACGCAGTATCGTAGAGAATGACCATATCTACCAGATTGCCGAATTTGAATCAGATCGGATCATAATTATAGCCAGAATGACGAAATTAATTTTCAGTTGCATCCCCTCCATCAAACGACAACGCAACTCATTTTCCTTCTCGCTCGCACACTCTGCCGCGTTCAGTGCGCGAGCAACCCCTAGCGGAGGAGATGTAGAATATGAATGGAACATGTACAATCTACATGTTAGATGTAGAATAGACATTGTATATGTAGATTTAATGCATCAAAAAAATGTAAAATGTAAAATGTAAAATTTTTTTTTTTTTAATTTCTAAAAATTCATAAGCTCAAAAATGTATATACTGACTGCGTACGGGTAAAGAGAGTCGCGTCCCCAGAAACGACTCACACGTTTCTTCTCGTTTTAAATTGTTTTAAAGGCGTGCCACGCTCTCTTGAATAAAATAAAATGTTCTCAACATGTTTGTTTTTTTGCCTTTTAAGCAAACAAAAAAAATTGTATATCTTTATAAAAAAAGGAGTTGCCACGCCCATTTTTTCAAAAAAACTTCAACTTCAACTTGCTATTATAAACTCATATCAAAAAACTAAACCAAAAAAAATATTGTTTCGTTTGGAATTAATTATTGTCACAAAAAGTGGTCAAATTTTCCATAGGGCATTGTCAAAGACTCTTTCTCAGTTTGGGCCACTTCCTGTTGGCGCGCAACTTCCGGTCCGAAAGGGCCTGCCACGCTCCATGGATAGGATTTTTTTGACGTGATTTAAACTATGCATAGCCAGGACTTGGCCAAAAGAGATAGACGAGCGTTGGGGGAAACGAATATCTAACGGCACTCACCACCATTCAATGGAGAGCATTTCGGACGTGATTTTGCAGTTAGTGAATGGTTTTAAATAAGTTTTAAATATATGTATTCCCTAAGGGAAACAGGTATTTACATTTGTTGGCTTGAATTAATAACTAACGATTTATTTGACATTTCTATGTTTCATTTTATTCGCTGTGGTAACAAATGTCTCGAGCTTTGTTAAAATACTTTTGGGGTGCTCTAGCTCGGCAGCTGTTCATGGCCTGGGCCATGTAGATGTTTGGCCATTTCAATTTGGCTAAGCAATCCCTCAAACTGCTCTCCCTCCCCACAAGGTCGATCACCTCATAGCTGGCTTTATAAATAATATTTTAATACATTCAAATTTAGCTAGCCCAGCAATTTATTTAGACTAATTTATACCCACACTCAAAAAAGAGTTAAGGGGATATTAGATTTGTGGTAAAAGTGGATGTGTGTAACGCAGAGAAGGAAACGTTTCCGACCCCATAAAGTATATATATTCTTGATCAGCATCAATAGCCGAGTCGATATAGCCATGTCTGTCTGTCCGTCTGTCTGTCCGTAGGTTAGCGTCCCATAGATCCAAGAGACTATAAGAGCTAGGGCAACCAAAGTTGGTTTCCAGACTCATGTGATATCACTGCTACAAGTGTATTTCAAAATTTCGCTCCTCCCCCCTTTCCGCCACCACAAAGGACAATCTGTGGCAGGCACATTTTTAAAGATACGATAAAACTGAAATGATTCTCTTTCTCTGCTCACCACTGCCGCGTTCAGCTGACGAGCGCCCTAGCGAGGGAGATGTGAAATTTAATAATGGTACATGTATAATCTACATGTTAAAT